TGAATAAATTCTATATATATAAAGACCAAAACCATATATATATATGGTAAAAGCTGAGGTTAGCCCACTAGCTAACAACTACAGTTTTAGCCTAGCGGCCCAAATTGAATCTGGGCTGATCTGACGATCACGATATCATTTCGTAATATAATTTTAATATTTTTTTCAAACCCAAATCTCATGAAATTTTAGTCGTTTGTTCTTCTCATCAAGCCTCACCTAATTAAAATATAAAAAGAACAATTCGTAAAATATAAATTGACCAAAATACAGCTGAAAAGTTTCAGAAGTATTTTACTCAATTATTTTATGGAAATTATGTTTTTGATAGTTTTATTAGATTCTCCTATTTTCAAACTACAGACGCTCAATATTTCAAGTGATTTGGATTTGTTGATGGCCCAGATTCAATTTGGGTCGTTGGGCTAACACTGTTGCGTTAGCTCGTGGGCTAACCTCTGCTTTTCCCTCTAGTCATAGCTGAAATAGGTATTATATAATTCATGACTCCCCATAAATACCTGAACTTGCAAGTGCACAAATGCAACATGAATGTGTCCTTGTTGAAGAAATGTTGCTATTTGGATTGCTTTGCCAAAATATCTACATAATGGTGATGTACTCATTCTAGAAATTGGTATGCCATTGGGCTGTTGTATACTTTATTAGAGTTCATCATTGATCTCATGCACAACATGTGGGGCAAGGTGGTGTCTAGCTGTGATGTCCTCCATCTACACTACATTAGGTTGTCTTATTGTTATGTTAGATAGGTCAGCTTGGTTTAATGTTTTGTTTCAAGTCTGAGGTGTGAAGTTAGAATTGGCTGGTCAGCCAGTTGTAGTGGGTTTGAGGATGTCTTTTTTTTCTTAATTGGCATTTTCTATCAGAGCTAAAGATCTTCTTCACATGTAATTTTATATGTTAAATGAAGGTTCTTCTTTTTTTGGTTCCTTCTGTTTTAATTTGATTATATTTCTTAATTGTTAGGCTGTTGATGACAGTATCCTACAAGAGCTGGAGCGTATGGAGAAGGCTTTTGATATTGATGAGATTTTGACCTACAGGTCTATTGCTGAAAGCCAGTTGCAGGTATTATTTAGAAATGCAGGTATTATTTAGAAATGAACTGATCCTTTTTTTGAGTGAAATGGAAGATAAGGTAGCCCCATCTCAATTTTTTCCTTCTTGGAAATTGTATCTTTTGCTATTGGTGGAGCATGTCCACTTGTGACTTTGGTTTTTGCCATCTGTGAATTCTATACTACACTCGTGGTTCTCTTCATCCAGCTGTAAGGCTTCTGTTCATGATTGCATTTTGAAACCGTGGTTTTGTTCTTCCGTTCTCATGCACTTCATAATTGAACTTTATTTCACCTTAAACAATTTGGTAATAGTGGATCTTCAAGTTGGAATTACTGCTTTATGGCCAAATTGATAGCTTTTGCTTTGGAGAGTTGGAAAGGGGAATGTTTTACCTCCGTAGGTTTGTTGGTAATCATTTTGAAGGAGACCTGGTTGCTAGATGCGCTTTTGGGTTCATGGTTTTCCTGACAGTTTTTGAGTTCAATGGGTATTTTGACATTGTTTCCATTCTTTGCAAGTGAAACATCTAGTCATTTGAGTTTGGACACATCAAGTACCTATTGAGTCTTGTAAGGTCACCAATTTTTTTTCAGATTTTTTGTTTCATTTTCTTGTCTTTTGGGACAAGGTTTTTCCAAGTTGACTCAGTATCAGGCCAAGTTCCAAGCTTAGTCTCTGTTTAAATAACTCGGTGTTTTGTTCTTTTGTACTGTGCCAGTTACTGCATATTATGAAATATTAAATTTGTTTTTTTGGTTACCTTATGAGTTTAATAATATGCTTCCTAAAGTCCAGAATTGGAGCTTGACACCAGAGGGTTATATTCTAGAGTGACAAATAACAAACAATTTAGTTTTTGTTGGATGGATTATTTAACCTTATGTACATATATTGTCATTGTCCTCTTTGCATATTCCACTATTTGGTGTTAAATACTCAATTTTTATTTTTGTTTTGCAATAAAGGTTGGTCTTGCAGCATTGTTTAATGGAGGCTCTCTTGACACTTTATTCTGAATGGATTTCAAATATTTGTCTTCTATCTTTGATTTTATGGGTGATAATTAGGCATCAAGATATGTTTCAAGCGTGGGTGGTTATCATAAGAGATTCTCCTCTATATTTATTTATTTAATTATTTCCCCAAATCCGATACTCATAACCATGTGGCCGATGCTTTAAGTCAATGCTCCATCTGAACTTTATCTCATGAACTCATTCGTTTTTAGCTGCTCAAATTCCAATAATTTGATCGCCCCTACTTTTGTCCCTATATGGGAATGGCAGTGTTTGAAAAATCTCTGATCCGGATCGGGAATCATTTGAGCGATCTGGATCCCTAATATATCAGGATTAGGTTGTGTCCCCCCAGAATGGGTCGGTTCGAGGCTGCCCTTACCTTTTCTTTGTTGGAGAACCGGTGTGAGAACTGGACAGTCTTATTGAACTAGATTTTATCCACATTTTTTCAATAAAAAATGTTGTGGTGGTTCAACGTTATTGTGCACGTTAGATCTGTTAGCAGATTATTACTCATGGGGCCCACCTACACCTACCATCGGGCTTACCTCATGTGCAACAAGAAGCTTGGTTGTGTTGTGTGGTTCATACCTTCTATATTACCATTTTCCCCCCCAAATCTTTGATGTGGGATACTGTTGGCTAGCGTTTTCTCTCCAAACTCAAGTTCAAAGTTAGGCGTATTCCATTAACATCTCTACGTTTCCATTAACATCTCTCTCTCTCTCTCTCTCTCTCTCGCTTATTCAAGAACAAGTTCGTCTACAAAATGAATTGTCTATAAAGTATGATTTATTTTTCTTTTTTAGATTTTTTATATATAATAAATAAAGGAAAATTTGAACTATGATTCATGCTTATTTTCTTATTCAGACCTCGTGACCAAGCTCAAAAACAAAATTCTCAAAGATCTATTTCATAAATCAATCAATTCTTCTTTTTATTCAGAATCATGCTTATTTCAACTAAGGGACAAATATTTCTCTTGATATTTAGTCATTATATCTTAAAATAAATGATTATCAAATGGTTCCTACTTAGAGAACCTTTTGGTTTGGAGGGACTGGTGAATCATTGTGTTTTAATATGAAACTGAGGTTTCAATTGATTTTTTGGGTCTCAAAATTCATTGGAACAACTTGATGAATGTAGTGGATCCTTTTAGGAGCTTTCAATGACTATAGATGGATTCTATCCGATTTTTATAGTGAGATGGTTGGCTGTTCACGGACTAGCTTTACCTTTAATTTTTTGCTTGGGGTCAATATCAACAATGCAGTTTCATCCAATGATAAACCTAATTCGAATTCATTATCAAGCTACGACACAATCAAACCCGAATGAACAAAATGTTGAATTATATCGTACCAGTCTCTACTTGGTGTTATTACTCATGTTAGTACATGCTGTTTCAGTTTTCATTTTTTCTTCAATTGATTGAGAGAAAGAAAACAAATTCTCGTATTCCATTCGGAAGGATATCATACTCATAATTATCTATGATTGTTTATGTCTCTAGTCTAACCAGTTGATGAAATGTGGAGGGAAGTTGGGTAAATGGCTGATACTACCTGAAGGATTCCTCTTTGGCTGATAGGCACCATAATTGGTATTCCTGTGATCGGTTCAATGGGTATTTTCTTTGATGGATCATATTCCGGATTGTGCTTATCCCTATTGTAATTGAATGAACCGAACCGGGTTGTAGATATGTATTGCACACCATCATTTGGCTATATTTACTAAAAAAAAACCATCATTTGGCTATTGTTATTATTTTCCTAATTGCTGGTCACATGTACAGAACCAACTGGGGAATTGGTAATGGCTATAGTTAAGTTCTATTTACATATGATTACCAAAATAAATTTCATATAATTAATTTTAAAAACTTAGTATGATTCTATTGAAATTATTATTGTTTATTATGTTAATAACTTAATATAATTATGTTAAACATATGTCTCTATAATTATGTGGTTATGATTACATTAAAATTACGTTAATATCATTATGTTGAACGAATATATATATATACAAATTGTTAATGTATTTAATTATGTTAAACTTTTTTTTGCTATATTGAAATTTTTATTGTTATAAATACATTAAAACATCACATAATTTAATGTTTTAAATTGCTGCATTATTAATAAATTGTTATTGTAGATTATGTTGTTTTCATATTTCATGTAGATTGTAATTTTAAATTAGTATCTTTATAACTTGCATATATCAACAAACAACTTATTGTTAATTTGTTATTCTTATTGTAACTTATTTTATAGAGCAAAAAAAATTTAATATAATTTTAAGTTGTATTAAGTTGTTATTGTTATATAGAATATATATCAAGTTGTTCAGACGATCCTGAGACGTAGATGGAACGACTCGATGAGTTGTTGTGACAATTCCATGAGTTGCACCAACCCGATGAAGAGGAAGAACAACGACGTCATTCATTTTGGTATTAGGTGGTATTTTGATTGTTGTATGTTCCATTGTAGACCATGTATTTGTATCCATGGTGATTGTAAGCTCCATCTTTCTTTGTGATGTGAATGTAATGGTCAACAAACATTCAGACCTAGAAACATCTCAATATTCATGAATTTTTGCAAAATAATGAAAGTACATTATGCACCACTCTTGTTTTTTGTTAAAACTCAAAAAACACTATTTTTACTGATTTTTAGTGAGTTTTTCAATTTTGTTTTAGACCAAAACCGGCTGATTCTTTGATCTGGATCCCCAATCCACCAATCTGACTTGGTTTTAAAACCTTGGGGAATAGTGTTAGCAGGGTAATGATCCTTCATCTAACTGTGAGTTACAGGAAGGCTACTTATTTTGTGGTACAAAATTGTGTATTTGCAGTGCTTCTATGTGGGAAATATAATAATGGAGTTAGCTGATGGAAGCCTTAGTGTTCATTTTGGTTACTCCAAAATCACAACTTAGGTGGAGGAAAAATATTATTGGCTTAGGTTTATGCGGGATGTGAAGTCGTATGTGGAGCATTGCCGAGTCTTCTAAGTTTCCAAATGTCATTCTCAAAATTCTGATCTCTACATGCCGCTGCCTTGTTAACGTAAGTATGTATTTTGTCCTTGGTCTTCTGCAGACACCATTTGTAGTGGTGGGCTAATTTTCAGAAATGGCTTATTCTTTGCCATGCTAAAGGACGTTCCAATCAAATGCCGCTCAAGTATTTTCAGAGAAATTGCATGTTTACATGATGTACCAAAGGCCATTACTTCAGATTGGGACACCAAATTTTTGAGTCATTTTGGAAGATCTTGTAGCACAAGATGGGATGTATGCTGTAATATAGTAGTGCATATTGCCTTCAAACTTATGGGCAAACTGAAATAGTCTATTGAAGCCTTGAAATCTTCTAATGTACCTAGATTGCGACAAGCCTTCCCAAGGAGGCTTAGGGCCTCAGCAAACTGATTTTGACTTTATTAATAGATTGACAACTAAGTCTCCATTTCACATTTTTTATGGCCTATCTCCCATACATATTTTGGGTCTGGTGCCTTTACCAAATCTTGAAGGATGATGATGATGTTGAGGCTTAAACCAACAAATACATAAAGTTACAAAAAAAGGTTGAAATCAAGTTGCAACAAGTACTGGTAACTATTAAGAAGATGCCAATTCACATACGTCTTTTAAGGCTTATGAGCTTGGAAATAGTACATGGTATTTTTGGTACTGTATCCATGCTTTTGGGAGTTGTTTTTATGCATTGGGAGGGTGCATTTTTTGGGTGAGTATCGGAAAAATAATACTGGCTCTGGGAGTTGTGGTGTGCTCAAAGTGAGTCCGCTATGCGAGTCCCGAGTGGACTGCTCGGTTTGCTTTGGTTACACATAGAAAACCTGAAAAATAAAAATTGAGAAAATATAAACAATAAAATACTTGTAAGCAAAAGGTCTCCATCTTTTCTATCTTATAACCCCCTAGACCCCTTTGACCATAAATTTTTGACCCAAACAACACTAAATGACACCCTATTCAAGCTCCATCTCTCTCTCTAAAACTCCATCTCTCTCTCTTCACTTCTCGGTGAGTTTATCAGCCAAGGGGTTTAGCTTGAGCTCGAACACGAGCACACCTTCTTATGTGTTAGAGAAAGATGGAGTTTTAGAGAGAGAGAGATAGAGATTGGGTTTTAGAGAGAGATGGAGTTTTAGAGAGAGAAAGAGATGGAGTTTGAGTTTTAGGGAAAGAGATGGACTTTTGAGAGAGAGACGATGATGTGAGAGAGAGATGGCGTTTTGAGAGAGACGAACACGAGCACACCTTATGTGTGAGAGAAATATGGAGTTTTAGAGAGAGAGAGATGGAGATTGGGTTTTAGAAAGAGAAAGAGATGGAGTTTGAGCTTTAGGAGGAGAGATGGACTTTTGAGAAAGAGACGATGATGTGAGAGAGAGAGATGGCGTTTTGAAAGAGAGACGATGATGTGAGAGAGAGATGGAGTTTTAGAGAGAGACGATGATGTGAGAGAGAGATGGAGTTTTAGAGAGAGAGATAGAGTCATTTTGTAAGTTGTTGATGTCAATAATACATGGTCAAAAGGGTTTAGGGGCTTGGAAGATAGAAAAGATAGATTCTTTTTACTTACAAGTAATATTTTCAATTCTTGGGTTTGATGAGATATAGAAGTTAAAAATAGGGGATAATAGGATGATGAAAAATTGATTTTATTGGCATAGACTCATGAAGTAGTGGGTTTTTGAAATTTTTGGTAAACAGTATTTAGAAGTGTATTCTCAATCAGCGATTTTAGGTAGTTTTGGTGGTAAATAAGCCTTTGATGCTACAGAGAACTCAAACATAGGCTAGGGAAAAATTTTCAGGCAAGATAGTGCTAGGGTGCCTAAAATTTTGTGAGTATTTGAACATCGTCCAAATCTAGATCACAAATGTTTTTATTTTTCTGGTATTCGATGTTTAAACATCTGAGGCTGGAAAATGAGTCCTAAGGGTGAAATTTTTAGAGCTATCGAAGATCAAAATGATTGCACCTCCTTGAATGTGTTCAGCAAACCAATGAACAGGACCCTTTTACCAAGAGTAGGGGGATTTTGGTCATGGCAGGCTCAGGCTCATCTCAGGGAACTTCGAGTCAGACTCACGGAGTTTTTGAACAATGTTCTGGGGAATTAGTGTATGGTTTTTTTGGGATTGCATGAGTAGGTTTCTTTCTAAATGAGTAGGGAGAAAGACCCATATTAAGGTGACAAAGAAGTTGGGTTTTTATTTTTAGCAAAAAGAAAGTTTGGAGAGTAAGTGTGGAGCGTTTCTTCGGTAATTTTACATTCTGAAGTTGGATATTAAACAAATGAAAAAGGTGTTGAGCTTCTTTTGAGCGTCTTGCTTATTGTTGATTGCTTTCTATATTATGTTGAGTGATTTTCTTAGGAGTTTTGGCTTTAGTTTCAATTGAGAATGTTTTGAATTCAAGAGCAAGGAAAACTGAGATAACTGCTTCTGGTTCCAATTGATTTTGTCAATTTCTGTTCAGGTACTTTAGAAATCTTTGTCCGGCTATAGTTTTTGAGGCCCAGCTAGTGAATCAGTGTCTTGACTTTGTATTTGGCCAAATTTATCAGTTGTTAAGCTCAAGTTGGATGAAAATGGTCTTAGTTGATCTGAAACACATTGATGATTCTACTACTCCGTATAAATATTCTGGTCCATTTTTGTTATGTTCTGTGAATGTATTGATGTAATTTTGAGTGTTGGAAGAAACAAAACATTTTAAAATGTTAAGCTCCTCATCTTGTTTTTGGTGAAATCTATAGATTCACTCTCTGAAATTTGTTACCTGGATACTGCTTTCATAGGCTATTTCTTTTTTACGATATTTTCCTATGTGTAAGTTTATTTAATATCCTTGCAGAACCTTGCTCTTGGCCTTGTGGATTGGTTTTATCCCAAGTTTAAGATATTTGAGTTTTTAATTTCAGATATGCATCGGATTTTTCTTTGATACTTCATATTTTGTCTGACTGCTAACATGACTATTAACTTCTTTGAAACTCTTTTTTTGTCTTTGCTGTTTGTTCATCTTTTTACTGTTATCTTAAAAGGCATCTTCTTTTGTAAGAAATTCTTATTGTTCATTTTAGTTTCGGTTTATTTTTAGTTTTATTTTTCTTTTTTGGTTCATCTTTTGCTGTTATTCTGATCCACAGACATTGTTTCTTTTCTAAAAATTCTTATTGTATCGATCGTCATTAGGCAAGGTCGATCTTGCTTTCATCGTAAATTGGTTTCTTAAGAAGCATGTTTCCTTTGTAAAAAATTCTTATTGTTCATTTTAGTTTCAGTTAGTTTTTTGTGGTTCATCTTTCTGCTGTTATTCTGATCCAGAAACACTCTTTCTTTTCTAAGAAATTCTTATTGTATCAATCGTCAGAGGCAAGGTCTATCTTGCTTTCATTTTATATTGGTTTTGTTTCTTTTCAAATTCGTGCACACATAGTTATGTTTTTTAACATATACTGCAGGAATTTCTATTAAGCTCTACAAATCCCAGTGTAGAATCAACTGGCACTGGTGAGGCAAAGCAACACAGTGATGAACGGCCATCAAGCCAGCCTCGTGGTTGGTTGAACTGGTTATCTTTAGGCATGCTTGGGGCTGGGGACCCTGCTGATTCCGGTCAATTTTCTGGTGTTGTCTCTGATGAGACAATCAAGGTACTGGGTCTTTTGTCAATGGTTCCGTGCAACTTTAGTTGTCACTGATGTTTTTGTATGTGATGTTCATGCAGGATATTTACGAGGTGACAAAGTTTCATCCAGTGCCTTCATTCGATGGGGATGTCTCTCTGCAGGATAAGTTCTATTTAGCATCCATTGCAATCAATATTGAACAAATTTCTTTAACACTTTGGAGCAAGTATGGTTTCTTCTTTCAGACCCCTTGTTTCTTTTGGCAATTATGGTCATTGTTATTTGATAGTTAGCAATATTATTGCTTGCTGCTAATCTTCTGTTTGAATTTATAAATAACTATATAAAGATTATGTGGTTGGTTGGAATGGTTATCAATTTGTACCTGTTGACTTTTATGCATTATGCAGCATTTAAAAAAAAAAATTGAAAGGTGCACAGCTAGTAAAATTTGCAAGTTGGACGTACACTTTCGTTTCGTAGATAAAATTTGAGGTAAACATGATTTTAATGGGGCTACTGAGCTCGAAGATGCTGAATACACTTGTGTTTGGGAAGGATGGACTGGACTCTTGGATGCCATTTCTGCTTTCAAAGTTGCTGCTTAAGAACTAGATGCCGCTTGTGTAAAGATTAATGGGTGTACCTATATAGCATATTTCCTGTGGCATATTTTACAAATACTGAGGGATAATATAGTAGGTTTTACATTAATCTATTCACCATGCTGGAGTTCTGCTGCTCTGGAATATATTAACATTCTCTTATTTTGTCAGGATTTTAATGTGATCATCTGACCACTTGGTTGTTATAGTCCTTTAATCAATAATATAATAGGTTTTGCTTCAATCTAGTCACCATGCAGGAGTTCTGCTCTGGAATATATAAACATTCTCATATGTCATCATCGGACCACTTAGTTGTTATAGTTCCGCTGTATTCTTATTTGTCTGTATTTCTTATGGGCTCGCAAGTGTGTATGTTCATTGAGAAATATCTTATACCTGTTAAATTACTTTGAGTTACAGATCCACTTTTTTTTCCTTTTAATTTCTGTTCATATCTTATGTTTTGCAGTAAAGCTATTAAGACTGTTTCAGTATAGCAATGGTCATCAAACAAGAGATATGGTTATTCCTGTTCCAAACTGGGAAGAAAAACTGTTCTTCCAATAAAGAAAATTAATTTTTGGAAGCTTTAATAAACAAAGGAAATCCAAATTATAACAATGAAAATTTCATATAAGTACAATATCAAAAAAAATAAAATTGATATAAGTATTTCATATGTTTAAGCAATACAGAATAGCATCAGAATATTTACTTACAATGTACATTAGTGAATGTTGTTACAAAGCACATTGCAGTTGCTTGATATCTTCGAGGTGCTTTTTTGATCTTTGTGATTCCCATGCTATCTATTTTTGTTATTTTCTGGTGAGGCTGATGCTGATGCAGATGTGTTGGTTGGCAGTTGCTTGATTTGTGAGATACTGAGATGCCCTTGTTTCTGTCAAAATTGTTTTGAAAAAGTTTCATTTGTCAATAAAACATATATGTTTTTAAATGAAAATAGACAACCCAAGACATGCCTTGGTCAACTATTCGAAGATTTTGGCCTTATTATTCCAGCTTTGCGTTAACTGTGGACAGTTTGAGTTGCTCTAAGGGACTGCACCACAGTTGTTGGGATCCCTCAACCTAGGTGGCGATCCCGCTCCGGCATTTCTATAAGGATCTAAACTATCTTGACCTCCCTTGTTAGGGATGGTGATCTCTGCTATTAGGGATCTCATTGCCACCTCAAAGACCATGATAACGATCAAAATGATGATTTTCACGATCCTATTCCACTCTCGATTCACTATCAATCCCAACTACTATGGACCACACTACTATGCTAAACTTTGATGGATATTTATGGGGCAATTCAGGCGGGGCTGTTATGACTGGGATATTTATAAAAGAAGTTAAGAAGCTTAAAAGCTACTCGGGCTCGCTGGGGATATGTGATTGTACATTAGAGGCTTGTGCATTACTTGAAAGTGTATAGATTTGCCACTTCCATCATAGGTATTGAATCTATTGATTAGTTATAGTAGGGGATTGTCTCACTATTATAAAATGGCCCAGTAAAGCGTCCTTTATTTTGTGGAGGGCGGTTATGATATTTGATGACATTTGTGACACTGCGAATGTGACCTTTGTACACGTTTAAATGTGGGAATCTAGATATGTTGCTTTGAAACTATTGACTTCTGTTTTGCGCTTTTAACTTACAGCACTTTAGGTACCATTTGATCTGAAATTTGATTGAATGATTCTATTTTATTTATTTTTCAATGCATAATTGAAGAAATGGCAATTGGTCAATGATTAGTTGTTGTCTAGGGATGTTCGGTTCAAATTTGAGATGCAATTTGTTAGTTTTGGCGTAGGAATGTAGTGTGTATGGTGTGATAGTGGTGGTTGTGCTTGTGGTGGCGATGCAATGGTAAAGACCTTGGATGGCCCCTAGGTAGCCGGGGAGAGTTGTTATGGCACCTAAGAAGGTGCCTAGGTTTTGTGGCGCTTGCAACACACTTATAGGAATATATGTGAACTTCAAATTCATATGGATAGTGGCATTTAAGATATGTCATCATCATCATCATCATCATAGCCTTTTCCCAATTAATTGGGGTCAGCTATACGAATCTTGGTCCGCCATTCTGCTCTATTTAAAGCCTTATCTTTAGTGAGGTCATAAGTCCCCATATCTTTTCAGACTACTTCTAACCACATCCTTTTGGGTCTACCTCTTGCCCTTTTCAATCCTTCCACTTGAACTAATTCGTGCCTCGTAACAGGTGCTGTTTTGAGTCAACACCACACATGGTCAGCCCACTTAAGTCTACTCTCTATCATCTTATCACTTATTGGTGCCCCACGTGAATTTTCCCAAATGGATTCATTTCGGATTCTATCCCCTCATGTATTGCTTCTCATCTATTTCAACTTCCTCGTCTCTGCTACACTTATTTATGACCTCCGCCCTCATTTATACCAATTGTTCCTTCTATCGCTATGTTCCCATTGTGTTTGTCATTTAATAATTTTTTAAAATAAATTCTCCACCTTTCATTGACCTCGGCATCCTTTGCCAAAACCCTTTGATATTCATTCTTAATGCATTTAATATGGTTTAGATCCCTACACTTTTTCTCTCGTATTTTTGCTAATTTGAAGACATCTTTTTCACCTTCACTTGTTTCCAATTTATTGTATAAATTATCATGTCTTAAATTTCTCTTTACTTACTATTTGTTTAGCATTTTTATATTCGTTTAAGTTTTGATCGTTCCAAATACATTGCCAAGTTTTATAACATGATCGTTTTTCGCTAATGGACTTCTGGACTTCATCACTCCACCACCAAGTTTCCTTATCGAAAATATTTTTTCCTCTAGATTTTCCTAACACTTCTTTTGCCACTTTCTTGATACAGTCAGCCATCTCATTCTATATTACATTGATATCATGTTCGGAGTTCCATTTGCCTTCAACTAATTTATTTTTAAATAAGTCTATTTTCTCATTTTTAAACTTTCACCACTTAGTTCTTGGACACCCATTACTTTCACCCCTTCTCTTCCATGTCTTTATTCAGATGTCCATAACCATGAGCCTATGTTGGGTAGTCAAACTCTCCTGGGATACTTATTTATGGAAAACACTTACAGATGCCCATAGGTGAAGTTTTACAGCACCTCACCTATAATCCATCGCGGTCCAAAATCGATCACATGGTCATGACTATCTGGTAGAGTTTTATTTCAATAATGTTTCCACAAATCAAATTTATCTTAATATTAGGGTTCGTGTACATCTGACCAAATTGCACTGAAACAAAATATTGAAAAGAGTTGTTTGAAAAATAAAATGATGAATATACCCTGAAATATTCATAGGGGTGTTTTGGTATTTTTATTGTCCAAATTATATTTTTTTATATTTTACTCATGTGGGCCTCACTAAGGCACACACACCCACAAAATTTTAGATAAATCTAATTTATAGAAAAATTATTAAAGTTCAAACACTATTGGATGGACTTTTGATATAGGGAAATTTGAATTCATAGTAAATTCGACAACGAACAAGCCAAACACAAGCATAAGTTGAAGAAACTTGTGGTTTCTTCTCCACACCCATGCTAGGGTTGCAAAAGCCTTAGTTTTTCTCTCCTTCAATTTCTAAAAATCATGTGGAATATGACCCAATGAATGCTCCACACAACTCTTGTATATTACAATTTAATGTTCTGTGTTCAAATAGCATCTAAACAAATAAGACATTGACCGATATATCCTAACCTAACTTAAAACTCATTATGATAGTTTTACCCTTTTGAATAGTACCTGTGAACAATACTTATGAACAATGTGAATAGTACCCATGAAATAAATAGAAAAATATAAAAACCCTAGAATTCTTAAATAAATTAAAAGAACCTATAAATAAAACCCTAAAACTAAAACTATAATTTGAGATGGAATAAGAAAAGTTAAAAGTAAGAATAATTTTTCCCTCTATCATTCTCCCTTGATTGGAAAAAACTCATCCTCGAGTTTTGGAGTGTGGTAAGATGAATTCAGTGTCAAACCCATATTTTTCTTATTCTTATTTGTTGGTTCAATGATTATTTGTAATTAAAAGAATTCCTGAAGAAACGGATCCTGATATGTATATTAAGGAATCAATACAAATTATTTATCAGATACAACTGTCCTTGAACTCCCATTGAAATTCATGTAGGAAACTTCAAACTCAATTTTCTGGTCTTTAGATGCTTTCTCCGCATCTAATTCGTTACTCTCTGAAACCAGAGCCACAATTTTATCAGTTGACCACACTCCCATTGCGCTATTCGGATTCCAATGAGTTAAATATCTTGAATTCTCCACCTCTCGATATTAATGAGTTCTTCAAAGGCGATGATTTGGATCGGTACACTTGCTGCCTTCTCTCCATATGCTTCACCCTTGTCCCAAATGTCTTTATCATCATCTTGATCCTTATCATATGTTGGACCTGTTAAGAAATCTTGTTGGTCATTGAAGTATATATCGAAGGCTGGTGGTGAATTTCAATCTACAACTTGCCAATTTTCGAATCAATCTGTGTCAAAATCAATAATCTCATCCTTCAAATCGCAAACTCCATAGTGTTGTTCCCCACGTCTAGG